TAAAAAGAATACATTAGATTTTTTTTTTCTTATGAGGTTTGAAGTTAAATGAATGCAATGTAAAGGATAAAGAGGGTGGTGGTCAGCGGTGACCGACAGTGGTGGATTACGGCGACTGGTGACGGTGGTAGATGGCGGCGGGCGGCGACAGTGACAGGCAAGATGGTGGTGGCCGTCGATGATCCTTGACTAACCCATTTCTATCTACAGCCTTGAGAGAAGCATAAGAACAAGCAATAACTAAAAAAAGCAATATTTTAAGAAATTGATGGAAGATGAAACATCACATTCCCACTGTTTTAAATAGGGGCAAAATTTAAAAAAGGGATTAGGCTTAAAATTAAATTAGGTAAGAAGGTTGAATTTTTTTTTGCAAAAGCAACCACGTCGTCAAGCGGAGGGCGATTTGGCTTCCACGTTGATAAGTTGCTGTTCATGTGATGACATAAATTTTTATTTTTATATTAAATAGTTTTCCCTTAAATTAAATTATCTTTTTTTTTTCAGCAACAAATTAGATTTTTTAAAAATTATCTTATATATATTTTAGTAATATTTTCATATTTTGGATGGATTTTCGAACTTAAAATCTTGTTATTATATATAATCATATTTGTTCGAAAGAATTTTTTAATCTTGATGAAATAGTGTAAAAAACTTGATACAGTATTTCTTAATTGGTTTAATTACAATGTAGAATTATAAATAATCATTATGTAATTAACACTTAATCTTAAAAAATAAATTAAATTTTTTTATTAATAATACGAATTTTAAAAAAAAATTAAAATAAAAAATCTTATTCATTGCAGATTAGAAAATTTAAATAAAATTGTAACAAAAATTCTTTTCAATAAATAGGGTTAAATATAATAACCAAATTTTAAGTTATCAAAATTTTATCCAAAATATTAAAATCTTAAAAAAAAAAAAACTAGAAGATAATTGGAAATAAAAGATATCTAATTTGTTGTAGCAAAAACAAAATAAAAAAAAAAAAATTATCGGATAATCTGATTAAGAGACAAAAGTTTATATGTATAAAAAAAACCATGTCATCGCATGGACGGTGAGTTGTCCTCGAGGACTGCAAGTTGTTATCCATTTAGCAACTAGGTTGCTTTGCAAAAAATAATTATCCTTTCTATTTTTACTTAATTTAGTTATATGTAATTCTTCTAAAATTTTGTCTTAAATAAGTTGCACTATATGTTGAGAACAAATTTGTTGCATCTTGGAATATTTACGGCGATAGAGAAATATAAAATTTAACATCTTAGTTTTGTACAAGGTCCAACGACACACAATCAGATAAGAGAGATAGTGCAGCGTTCATAAGAGACATCAGTTTTTACATGGAAACCCCTAAAAATGGAGAAAAACAACAGGGTTTGGCTTAGTTTGAATGAATCCACTAGTGTTTGACATGGTTTAAAATTACGCAATATGAGGCTCATCTTAAGGTCCGCCTTTGCACAATTCCAATAAAAAACGCCTCGAGTTTTTTTTATGAGGCTTGCGCCTCAACTTGGTTGAGGCCCACCTTGAGGCCCGTCTTGCCTCACGCTATATATATTAAAACTTACATAAATCTTGAAGTAAATGCCCGACATTGGACCCTATAGGAGAGGAGGAAGGGGAGAGAGCAATTCATCATAATGATGATTCAAATGAAGAACCCCTTAGTGATGATAGAGTTGATGAGTTCTTATGTGATATGTCATTGCTATTTGTTTTTTTGAAATTGGAATTATATGTTAATGAAAAGAATACTGGAATTTGGGAAAGATAGAATTTTGAGTTGGACTATATTTCATGTTGTCTTATTATTGGGATATTTTGATTTCACTTCATATCTTATGTTTTTTTATGTTTTATATTATTCACTCATTAGTATATAAAAAATTTATCATTTTATGTTTACACAATCTTTTGATTTTGAGGCTTACACCTCAAAACGCCTTGAGGCTTACGTCCCGCCTCACGAATGAAAAACGCCTCAATACCCGAATACGCAATTTTAAACATTGGTGTTTGCAGTTGATTACAAAAAAAGCCCTTGCCTGGGAGGAAAGCCTTGACTTAATGTAGCAAATATACATCATATAAAATTCATTACATGGTGAGAATTGGAAGAATCAGTACTTTTTTTCCAATTATCTCACAGAAAATCCACTCCCTAAAGCGATCTTCTAAATTAGCTCAAATTAGACGAGTCTTGACATGCGCATTAGTATACCCCGTCAAATCTCTCAACATTCTACCACAAAATCCAAAACTATATCTTAAATGTTAAACTAAATATTCATAATATTTTTTAGTCATTAATCTCATCAAAAAGCTATTTATTATCATCACAAAGACTTCCAAAATCTCTATTATAAGAAGAGGAAATGATCGCATAGTTGGGAGCAACTAGTTGCAGGATGTCCAACGGAAACTTACCTCATCAGTTGATAGTAGAGAGGAGGGCATAAAATCAGAAAATTATGGTCTAAGACTATCATTATCATCATCAATTATGACAGAATAATACTTTATATGGCATAAAGAGCTATGTTAAATAAAATCATTAACCCAACCATTAACACAAGTAGGGCAAAAACTTGTCTGCCATCTTCTTGGAGAGTATGGCTGCAAATAAACCGAGCAGAGTCGAGTAGGTGCTTGATCATATTTGAGTTTGTTTATTATCAACTTGTTCAAGCTCGATTCAATCTTTTTTGTTCGTGTTCAAGCTTGATTCATTTAAATTAATATGTATTTATGTTTGGTTCATGTTCAGTTCGTTTCATGCTTATTAAACTTTTAAAAAAATGAGTTTTATCAAGTTATAAACAAGTGATACTTCAATATGCTCATTAACTTAAAAAATGAGCCTTATCGAGCCTACTGACAAACAATTACATCAAGTCTGTTTGTGAACATATCTAGTAAACATTTTTAAACTATCAAATGAGTCCGTTCATGAACATTTGAATATATCTAACGTATCTAGTTAATATTTTCAAGCTATCAAACGAACATGTTTGTGAAAATATCTAGCAAAAAATTTTGAACTGTCAAATAATCCAATCACAAACATATCTAGTGAGTATTTTTGAGCTATCAAATGAGCCCATACAATATAACTAAATAATATTGTAAAATAAAAAGTAATTGTACTTAAATTATACTAATATCAAATTATAATAGATAATTATAATTTATTGTAAATAATGTATACTATAATATTTGATTAATTAATAATGATTGCATTATTAGATTATAATAATTATAAGATATTTATATTATTTATGTTCATCATTCTTATAATCAAACATCAATCGAGTTTTGAAGGACCTTATTCATGAGCTATGTATCGAACATGAATCGAGTTTGTTTATAAACTTTAAATGATGTTGTTCATGAATATAAATGAGTCGAACACAAAATTGTTCAAGTTTGTTTATTTAAGCATTAAGTATTTAAAAAAAATATTCAGGCTTGTTTTTTACTTAATTAACGGAGTATGAATGAACATTAATCAATCCGAACCATCAATAGCTTATCGAACAATCGGTTCATTTATAATCCTATCCAAGAGTTCCAAGAATTATGACATTATCACAAATGTCTTTGCCTGATGAAATGCACCCTCAACAGTATTGCCACCAAGAGTCACATCATCATCAATGATGACAGAACAAGTCCTTTCTGGCATGAAGAGGTAAGTTGGATAAAGTTGTGGACCCAACCATTAAGGCAAGGTTGGGATATTAGGGCAAAAAGTTGTCTATAATTGAAGGTCCGTCTTCATATAAAATTTCAAAGATTATAACATTATGGAAGGGAAGAGATGATAGGAAGAATAGATAGAACATAATAGCTTAAGTGATTTGGCTTGATGGCATATATCCACCATAGGACGGAAAAATTCCATTAATCTATGGAAAGAATTATAGCATATATATTTTTATTTCTATTTCTCTCCCTCTATCTCTCTCTCTCTCTCAAGTTACAATCTAACAATTTTTACGTTCGAGTTTCGCCCATATGCATATTACCATGAAAGAAAAGTAATAATTAAGCCAACTCGAGGAGTTATGGAGCGGATAACAATGTGAAAATCATTGTTGATTGAATCTAGCAATGGAAAATATAATGTTCGATGTGGTACGCTAATCAACAATAATGTGTAAGTGCAATGATTAGTGGGAGATTATGATCTTTGAGAGTAATGGAGACTAGTGGTAAAGAGAAGACATGTTATAGTGGTACATGGAATCTTCATGGTGTGCTTGTTACTCCATAAATGTAGATAGCTACAACATAGAGCTTCTTTAAGGTTTTATTTAGGACGACTTTCTTACTTCTTCTTAAAATAGTTTTTTAATACAAAAATTAAAATTTTTTAACTAAAAAGCTGCTATAAGAAGCAATAAGAAAGTCGTCTCAAATGAATCCTAAGTGGATAACAGAAATAGTGATGAATGTGGCAATGTCTAGGTGAAAAAAGTTGAACTAAAAATTTTTATATTAAAAAGTTCTTTTAAATAGCAATAAAAAAATTGTCCCAAACGAAACCTTAATAGCCTCTTTTAGACCTCATTTTGTATATGAACATGCAATAGTCGTGCAGTATGAGATCAAAAGTTTGATGGGGTTCAACAAATTTTGTGCTCTACAGAACTAAAAAGTGGCCTCTGTTAATCTACCAATGCTTAGAGTTTCTTGATACTCTTGCAATTCAAAACAGAACAAGCATTAATCAAATCTCTTATAAGAATTTGATTTCAAGTCTTTTTGGTTCAGAACAAAAATAATAACGATATGGACTCATGAACTAATTGCTTTGAATCATCAAAATAACTTCATATAAACTTTGAATAGATTTTCAAGGGAGGATAGAAATGCCTGTATGAACCGATAGAACTAGATCCTCATCAACTGTAGATAACAATAACGTAAGCTGCACAAAACAAGAGAAGAACAATAAAGTTTCTCCAATGAAAAACAGATTCTCTGTCAGAAAATAATCACAATCAATATTAAGCAAAATTCCATGCAAATACATACTGTCACAGTTCTATATTTTGTTGTTCCATATCTTATAGAATCAACTGAATAATAGCATCTAACCTACAGCTAATTTTGACAGATGCCCTTTCTGTAAAGCTGCTTGATAGTTGATATAAGATCAATAAGGTAAAATAATCCTATCGTAGCACAGTTTGGCGGTTCCAAAATGAAGATAATAAATTAAATGTTGAGGTATAGATGATTGAATGATCGATAAATTGGAAACAGGACTGAGTTAGTAATCACTGAGGAAGAATAGGTGGAGAAGTCATTCTTGTGTTGTAAGAGTAACAATGGACGCATTTGTGACCAATAACGTGAAAGAAGGCCTCAGTGGTATCATTACAGTCATTGCAAAGGATCCATACCTGCCAAAGAAAACTTTGTAAATATACCAAACCTTAAGGTATTTTCAAAGAATGTGACAGAGAGAGAACACATTAGAATTCATCCATATTAATTGAAGCAACAGGACCAAAAAACAGTTCGATATGCCATGGTTTAAAGCATTAATTTTGAAGGTAGCTCCATTGAGGTTTCGTTTGGGACGGCTTTTTTACTGCTTCTTAAAGAAGCTTTTGAGTACAAAATTTAAATTTTTGTACTTCAAAGCTGCTTTAAGAAGCAGTAATAAAGTCGTACCAAACGAAGCCTCATTCATATTTTTGTACTTCAAAGCTTCTTTAAGAAGCAATAATAAAGTCGTACCAAACGAAGCCTAAAGCTCAAGAAATTTTCAGTTGCATGTGCATGGCTACATGTAATGCAAACACCCCTAACCCGTGAATTCAGAGCAAAAATAAATTCAAATGAATTTTAGTAACATAGCCAATCCCATTAATATATATATATATATATATATTTTTTTTTTTTGGAATAAGACCGTTGGAAAGCAGAAGCAAAAGTTCATTACTCAACTACGTTAGGAAATAGAGCAATGCTACATTCCCCCAGTAGAATCCCAAAAGTTTTGGATCTTATGGATGCTTGTGCATGGGTGATGTGGGTGTTCATGAGGTGCATTGGAAGTGAGAAAAGCCCTTTAAGTGTAGGTTTGCTAAGGGAGTTAATATGTGCGGCCTTCTCAGTTATCATTTCACCGTGTGAACGCCAATGAGACCAACAAGAGAAGTCAAAAATTTATTCACGTCTCGAGGACTGAATAAATTTCAAATTACATTGTTTTCTTTTCAATTTATGTTGAACATGCCAATATTGTTGATATTATTGAGAATAGATTATGTTCCACATTATTTTGACATTTTCTTGAGGTTTGGTTAACTATTGTAGAAGCCCAATAAAATAAATATCATAAACAACCTGAGTTTATCTTTCAAAATTTTCAATTCTACTTCCGTTCAGTATTCTTCTTAAAGTGTTGTTGAAGCTATAGTAATGCTCTAGTCTTAGAATCATAAAGCGTCGCTAATGCTAGCCTTGAATCCCTACTATGCTGCATTTTTAAAAAAGGGGTCTAAGCATACATGCCTTCGGGCGCGCAAAAAGACTGAAGCCTCACTATCACTAATGAAGCTTATTCCTTCTTTTTGTGAGGCATATGCCTCGAGGCGTAATGTATCAAAGAATTTGAGGTGGCACAATAATAAAGTTATGTAAAATTTTTTTATTATATTATAGCATATTATAATATTAATATATATTATATTTATACTAATATGCCAACATTGTTCAATACAGCAACTCAACATTAGGCTTGTGAGGACTTCGACGAAGAGAACAAGTCGTTTCCATCACATTCTCTATAGGAGTGTGAGTCGATTGGGAGTCACTTGCATAAGTGAGAGGTTGTCAAGCAAACTATGAGAGGTCTTCAAGCCAATCATGGGTGGTGAGAGTTGCCATCGGGAGCCAATCTAGAGCAAGAGGAGGTGTAATCGATAGTCTCTATGTTTAGGTATTATTTTTTCTTATATCTTTATTTGGACCAACATCTTGAGGAAACTTCGATCAAAATTTGTGATTTTATATTAACATTAGGAGATCATTGAGAGCAGTAAGTTTTCTATAAACATTTAAGATTGAAATTTACGATTTATGTCTTTATGACGTGAACTAAGTAAATATGCGGATGATTTATATCATATTTATGAATTATTTTTTAGTTCTTGTTCTTTATTTTCTTTATTTTGATGCTTATACCTCGATTTTCCTTGTGGCTAACACCACGCCTCAATAAGGCAAAATGCTCCAGTTCTCGATTTTGCCTTTTTAAACCTTAATATGCTTAGCCTTGTTGGTGGTTTCCTTCAACTTCTACTATCACTACTAATTGTGCTGATTTAGATGTGACATATTTTGAGAAGTCCAACACAAATGCTTTTAAGCTCAAGGAGGGCAATTTTGAAAGCTACAAAGCTTAATAGTTCTTCAAGATCAAAAGAATCGAAAGCTTGTAATAAACTAAGGAAACTTCTACATATTTTGATCAAATATGCTTTTGAAAAGGAGAGCAGAGTGGAAGCAGTAATCTATGTCTTGATAATTATCTAACTGAGTTGAGATATAATCGAGTCTATCAGTGCCTAGAGATTTTAGCCAATTAACATCTAAATACAAGGGACTGTCGAGAAACTCTTGAATGAAGTATCATTACTTGGAGATATTCGGCATAGCATTGATTTGTTTCTTGGTCAATTGTTGCCTAATTTTCCCTATTATAGAATGAATCATATTGAACATATTGAACTAAAAAGATAGGTAGATAAATTATTAAGAAAATAATTTAAAAGAAAAACAAAGCGTTCTTGTGTGGTGAATGTGTGGATAGTTGAGTAAATAATAAAATCACCATGAAGTATCAATTTCTTATCCCACGAGTAGATAATATGATATATGTGATGACTAATATTGTGATTTTCTCAAAGATTAATTTGAACGATTACCATTAAATAAGTATGAGCGAAGAAAATGAATGGAAGATTGCTTTTAAGGCAGATGACGATTTGTATGAATGGTTAATTATGCATTTTAGATTAACTAATGTCTCGAGCAATTTCAAGAGACCTTGAATATTGTTTTGAACTTTTAATAAGAGCATTTTTAGTTATATACTTAGAAGACAATCTAATTTGCATCAAATATAGAAAGGAATATTTATTACAACTTAGAAAATTCTATAAAAAGTTGCAATATGAAAAATCAAATCTAAATATGAAGAAGTGCAATTTTGTTGTCCTATTTATTATATTTCATGATTTTGGTTTCTACTCATAGATTAATAACTGATCTTGATAAGACTAAGGAAATTAGAAATTGGTCAGCGCTTCATAGTATTCATGACATTTTGAATTTCCTAAATTTGGCTACCATTTTACCAAACAATTTATCACCATATTTAGTAATGTAATGGCAATAATTACTAATTGTCTTAAAAAGGGGAATTGTCTTAGGGATGAAATCTACTAAGTATGCCATATACGACATTAACGATAGATTTAACAATGCCCTTATACGAAAATTACTAGATTTTAATATAGCTTTCGAGATTTTATGTGGTGAATATAGTATGGGAATTTGGAGATTTATGAGTCAAGATGGGCATCTAATCATTTATTTTAGTGCGAACTTAAATAAGAAAGCATAAATACTCTAATTATGATAGAGAATTTCATGTCATTATATAATCACTTCAATATTGGACTTATTACTTATTGCCTAAGAAGTTTGTTATTTATTATGAATATTAGGTTTAAAATATTTAAACTTCAAAAAGAACTAAAGCAAAAGAAGAATACGCAGTTGTATTAAATTAGGGTTTGAACTAAAAATAACTCAAGGTAGCTATCATGTCACTCACCATGAAAGTTAATGAGACTAACTTCAATCATACTAAAGAGAACTATGCCAATTGTAATGACTTTATTGAGCCAAATATTAATTTAATTAGCACTTAAATATGCTTAATAAGGATTTAATTGATGCTTTTTTTAAGGACTTAATTTTGAATTCTTGTTCATCTTTATGAGACTTATGTTAGAATTATATGATTGTGGAGCTACTGGGAATATCCATCAAGATAAGATTGTAGCCATTATTGAGAATAGATATTATTGGCATAGTATATAACAAGATGTTGCATATATAGTGTCATAATACAAACTGTGTCAGAAGGCTAAATAAATAAATAAATAATAATAATAATAATAATAATAATAATAATAATAATAATAATAATAATAGTAATAGTAATAAATTTCATATAAATCTTGGGAGGATATCCACATGGAATTTATTCTATAATTAACTTGAATGAAAAAATATGAATTTATTTTTGTAGTGGTTCATTGTTTTTTAAAAAATGGCTTATTTTGGTCCATATTTTAAAATTGGTGATGCATAGTACATAACATAATTGTATATTAATAAAATGAATAAATCATATGGATTACTGAAAATGATTGTATCCCAACACAATTAAAATTTTCACAATTATCACGTACAAACTGATGGTAAAATTGAAGTATTAAACATGAATTTAGGTGATTTATTATAATGTTTGATTAAAAAGCACACATATCATAGGAAGTGGTATTACCGGGAAATTCAATTTTTTTTTTAAATAAACGGGTTTTCGGGTTGACCCGGCAACCCGCCGGGTCAACCCGAACCCGACCCGTTTTTTAAACGGGTCGAATCTGCGAACCCGAACCCGACCCGTTTTTAAAATGGGTCGGGTTCGGGTCGGGTTGTCGTGTCGTGTCAAATATTGACACCCCTATCGAAGCCTAACAAATTAGCACAACATATGCATAATATTCACGAAGATATTCATCGGAAAATAATGATTAATTATGTTAGTTATAAGTTTATTACTAATGTGAACATGAAACGTTAAAATCAAACTTGGTCGTAAGGTAATAGTGCCTCTAATTTAAAAATTCTAAAGGAACCTTTAAGAAATTAAGTGAAAGAAAAACAGGGCCATAAAAATTTATATAAAACATCCGGCCTAACCTTAAAAACTAGAAAGCCTGCAAAGTATTGATATCATTCTAAACTTTTACTCAACTGATTTGAATTCATGTTATGAACCTGCTGCCAGTACGCAATGGATTCTTCTTTCTTTTTATCATTTCTTATAAATTCACATTTAGCACCTTAACAGAAAAATTTATACAACTTCTTCCTGAAATTATTATGGATGAAGTATATATATCATTCCAATCTTTAATACATCTGATTTTACTTCTAGTACAAACATATTCTTCTTTTTTCTCATCCATCCTTATGAATTCCCACTTAGCACCTTATGAAACAGGTCTACTCAGCTTATTCCTGAAATTATGGATGCTGAGATTATGTCCACTAATGATGGTAAATATTAGAGGAATCTCATACTTTGGTATGACATACCCACCTGTAATGACTCATGATTACTATGTAAGAAGCACAAAAATTAGACCTAGACATACTTAGCAAATATCATTTGGTCAATTCACAATAGTAGAGTTTTTTTCAAGTTGAGCGAATTTGATAGAAAACTGGAACTGGAAGTATATACTTGTCAAAGGCACAAATAGTGAATTCAAATTACATTGTATTTATTTTATTTTCTATTTATGTTAAACATGTTCGTGACATTGAACCTATTTAGTACAAGATGTGTTCACCAATGTTTTGAAGTTTGCTTTACGTTTTATTCACTACCACAAGACCAAATTCAATCAGTATTATATGAGCCCAAGTTTCAGTTTTCAAGGTTTCCTATTTTATTCCATTTTTCTTACTAAAGTTCAGCCAACACTACAAACCTAGATTCCTACTTCCACAAACTGTGATGCAATCCTTATCATCGATAATATGCTATAGTTCTGGAGGTGGTTTCCTTTAGCTTTTTCTAATACCACAATAGTCCCAACTTCTAGCCGCTGTTTCATGTAAAATCTACTTCATGCCTTCTGTCTCCATGTAATTGCTACAATCTAGAACCACTTTTTTGCATTGATTGTTTCGATTCTCAAACCAAATCTTTTGCCGCGTATTTTCTTTCATTTTATGGATGAGTTTGTTTGAAATTTCAAAACCTAAGATTGATTCCTACTATTTGTGTTGAGAGAAATGGAACTTGAAGTTTTTGACTAAATTTAGGAAGATTTTGAAGACTTTTTTTTTATTATTTATAATTTTTGATCTTTTATGGGCTATAAAAAGAACTTTGAAGCATGCAAAAAAAAAAAAGAGAACTTAAATAAATTTCTAGTTTCCCTCAATTCTTGTGTGTGTGATGATTCGATGTGTACTCTTTGAGCACTTTGTAGGTGTTAATCCATGTTCTTATTTTTAATTTGTCAATGTTGGTATTTGTGTGATAAAAATAGTCGTGTCAATTTTTTTTTTGTGAAGTGAAACTTTTTCGTTGTGAAAATTTTATATTTGTCACAATTTACTCGTGAATTTTCATATTTACATGTTTACTAAAGAAGCATGCTTGTTGCTTTATATTAAAATGATTGATTTTGCTAAAGTTAATAATTGATAAATGCAGATTGAGATTATTTGTGTCTCCCTTATACATCTCACCTCCCAGACCTTAACCGAATGACATCAACAAGGCAACACAATATTCATTTGACAATAAATTCTAAAAAATGTAATATATCGTGCCAGGGAAAGCAAGGAATGACAAAAGAGCTTCTCATAAAATGCCATAGTTGAACCAAGTCAACACAGGGTTAACTTTTCTTGCAAAACATATATTTGATCAAGAAATGAATTCAAATGTATGAGATGATTTTTTATTTTTTTCCGAAAAAGGAAAATGAGAAGAAAAATGATATCTATCACAGACCTTTCTCTGTCGATAATCCTCAGGCATCAAAGTAGCTTCAATCTGTGAAATAAAAAGAAAATTCTTTTTAGCATAAGTGTTGTGAAACTAAAGGAAATCATAATTGGCAGTAGTAAACAATAAAGATAACATAAGTAGGCATAGTATATGCAAAAGAAAGCAACAAGAACTAACATTTAAAGCGGAAAACAAGCAAAAATTTGGCAGGGATTGCACGTTTAACTATTTCTAGAAGAATATGGAGCATAATTCTTCAGGTTTTTCCAAGCTTAAATCAGGGAAAGCTGTAGTGTACACGTATTGGTAGTTTCCAATAAAATTAACCCTCGGGTTCTCTGCATTAGTCAAGATCTACCAAAAGCAGTAAAATGCAACCTCACATTTCCTTCCTCAATTCTTTGATATTACTAACAAAAGGAGATTTGAAATAAGTAGTTTTTGCTTTCAGGTAGCATATCACTTTCAACTTATACAGCAAGGCAATCAGGACCTGAAAGTTCAGATGTCTTCTACACAACTCAGTAATCCCGAGCCAGATCTGTGTATTCTATTCGGAAAGCATTACCAATCTGTATGAACTAATCAGAGTGGGTAAATACATGAACTCTAAGAACTTTTGTGAGATAAAAAATTATAAATTTGTTCAAGTACTAGATAACCTTTTGATATCTTTGAAATTTGAAAACCCTTATAAGAGAACAGCTGAAAAAATTGCTCTTTTACTTCACAGAAACTTCACCTTGGATCTTTTAGCATATTCGTATAGCAAGCAATGGAAATCTTCCAGGACTTATTATTTGCGTTACACATGATTTCATAAGAGTTGATGTGAGAAAAGGGGGGAACTTAAAAGGAGGAATTTAGCAACAGCTCAAAGATAGTGTTGCCGCAAGTATTTTCTTGATCAATGGTGGAAGCAATGTGGAGTATGCCTTCAATTTTGACAGCCTTCAGTTGACTGTAGAAGCAATCCGTCAAGTATTACATTACTATTACAGCTCCTCACAAGGTTATATGAAAAATGTATTTTGACTTCAATTTTTATAGTAGCTTACCCCAAAGCTGGATGCAATTTTTGATCTGGAACTCAGTGATGCTCAATTCCAGTCCTGGTTACTGATAAATGTTCTGAAGCATATGCGAAACCCCTTAAGTAAAAGAAGCTAAACTCTTAAACATTGAGGCGCCTTTTGGTATAATTATTGGAATTTCATTAAGAAACTTTGCAGTTAAGTGTGCTCATCTCGGAGAAATCCTAAAATGTGACCTCCTGGGAAATTACTCCAACATGACAAAACCATGAGGCTCTTAGGCCAAAGCGGACAATATCTCGATAGTTAAGAGTTTGGGTTGTTATAAATTTGGAATCAGAGCAATACACCAATGGGAAAATGAGAACTAAGTGTCATACAAGACAAGTGCTATGACATGGGAGCTGCCTCTTGAATCCTATAAGGGACAAAGTGCTACGTGGCGGGAATCACCATTTGAACTTGTAGGGGCTACCTCTAGAATCCTATATGCCTAGTGGATGATTATGAGATAAAAATGCTGATAAGGATGTCAGTTACTTAATTGGGGGAGATAGTAAACCCCTTAAGTTAAAGAAGCTAAAAATCAAGGCCCCTTTTTGGTTTAATGGTTGGAATTTCATTAAGAAACTCCGCAGTTAAGCGTGCTCATCTCAGAGAAATCCTGGGATGAGTGACCTCCTGGGAAGTTACACAAACATGAAAAATCATGAGGCCCTTAAGTCAAAGCGGATAATATCTCAATAGTTAAGAGTTTGAGTTGTTAGAGCATAACTATGGAACACATATGATACATTTAAAATATAGAGGCAAAGCTTCTGCCACTATCCTGTGTGATATGTATAGTAGGTACTCTACGCAAATTAGAATTAGCAGATATAATAGTACCTTAACAGTCAAAATATACACATTTTTCTCCATAAATTGAAGATGAATCCCAATCAAGAAATAGAAAAAATCAATTGCAAAACTTTGACGTGTGATTTTCTACTTTTGTTTTGAAGCTTTATCTATATTATACAATACAAAAATGAACATTGCCTTTCAAAGCATCAAGATATGCTAATTCTCAAGATTTTAGATTTAGAGTAGACACATGTATTGAACTAAATTGTGGGTGATTTCAGTTTGTCCCAAATAAGTACAAAAATAGAAGCTAAAACACAATAAAATAAATAATTGAATTAATTGAACAAGTTATCAACATTTTAATAGAATATATGCAAGGAAATTTAGTTTAGAAATCTTATCATTGAATCATGTGCAAGAACTATTCTTTAGGACTGTTTTCTCCTCTCAGATATTGTAGATGAAAAGGTTGAAGATGTCGAATGAGTATATATATATGCATGAAACCAAGGAATAGCCACTAGGAAGGAATATTGTAGATATATTCTCTAGTTCCTGGGAGTGTGGAAGACAAATTCTTACTAACTGTTAAGAAGCTCAACAATAAAATGATATTTATTTTGAAATAAACATATTACAGTTTCTAGAAGAAAATTTGTGCATTTGGAATTGTAACTCACAATCTCCATGATTGAGAGGCTCTTCGATATCCCATCTCTTTCATTCATGGAGGTAATCCCAGTAATAACTTTTTGATCAAATGTTGTGTGCAGTTCTCCATCATTGGGATTGTGTGCAGTTCATTTTGATAAATTACAAACTTCAATTCTCTTTGCATTAAAACTTCAATTCCATTTCATAACAACATACAAGCATACATTCATAGAACTCGAATGAAACCAGCAGATTTTTTAGCTGTAGGTCTTACAACTTTCACAGATATTGCTAAATGAAACATTTTCTCTGCTGATATATAGAGATTCAGGATTAGGTACCTCCTCATCGTACTTCCTCCAAAGTCTTGATAAGTCGATTACAGACTTGTAACATATTGGGCATGTATATCTGTATGATGGGATTCACGGAAAGAATAATATGATTCATGAATAAATTTTAAAATAAACTCACATGTAACAAACATGAAAGAAGCTCGGGTAGCATGAAGTTTACTGTTCGTGATTTATCATATCATCAAGACACTCTGAATGCATCGTATGCCCGCATTTTAAGACTCTTGTATATCTTAAGGAGTCAAAAAGATACTGCAGCAACAGTTGATGGAATTAACATAGCTCCAATGTTCAAAGCAAAGAACCATTTCACTACCAACCTCATAACATATCGGGCAGTGATGCTTCATTGAATTCTCAACGCATGAATGCTTATTCCGTAAGTAAACAGAGTAGCATGTTCCTAAAAATATTCAGAATCAACAAGAGTTGGAAGGCCTTGAAAATAGTGCATCATCATCATTATTAATATTATTATTAGCCTTATGCCAACAATTTTACTTCCTATATTTTATGATAGAGAAAAAAATCAAAATGGTCTTTGCACTATTTATGTTGGGCTATTTTAGTCCCAGAATATCTAAGATATTAAATTTAGTGTCTTTGCTCTTCAAATATGATCAAAAAAATTCTTTTGACTTTTAAAATTTAATTCAAAATAATCCAACAACGGGACTATTTTGAAACAGATTTGAGAAGTCAAAAGACTAAATTGAATACCTATATAATCTAAAATTAAAATAGCCCCATACAAATAGTCCAAGGACTATTTTAATATTCTTGTTTTTTATAATATCACATTAAGCTCTTTCACTGTGGTAAAAATGCTCATGTATATGATACAAGCATTTAATTTTAGCTATATTTTTTGAATATCATGTTGCCTTAAATAATTATATGCTGAAAGAACAAAAATATTATATAATAGCATTTTTTTTAAATTATCTAAAGCTAAAATATTAACAAATAAGAAATAATATATATATATATATATATGCCTTGAATCTATTAAACAAATACATAGATTTGACAAATATATTAATACTATGTAATCTTAAATTATTATATTATGAGAGAAAAAATATTGTACAAAAGTATTTTCAAGAATTGTATGCATCTAAATTATTATCAAATGTGAAATAATAATCATTGTTTAAAAATATAGCATTCTATTTATTCGATGCGACATTATGTATATAATGTTCATATTGTTTTGAAAAAAATTCAAAATTATCTAAACTATATTATATGTTTTGTTAAAAATTTTATAATCATCAATTGCTAATAAATAAGAACTGCAAGGATTCATTTGCTATGTTACATTGATGAATCAGAAAGGTGAATAAAGTATAGATTCATCTGAACTGAAGTTCTTTGATCTCTTATTTTCCTAAATTCCCTAGGATATAGTTTGACCAGCGAAGCCATCAGCCATATGCCACAAATGAGATGTAGAGTACATTTTATTTCACTAAAGCCTACCCAAATATCAACAGAACTATGAAGTAAAACAAGAGTAATTTCTCCTCCGGAAACAAAACAATCCAGCTAAATAAACCGCACGGAAATACATCATCCCAAACATTAGAGTGAGTGATAAGTGAATACCACACTTCTTGCAGTGGAAATAGTTCTCCTTGTCCCCAACTCTGCACAAGAATTTAGATCTAACTATAAGGCAACATTCATTTCAAGAAAAATTTAGAATTAAACAAGAATATAGATTCTCCGACCTGCATATGCCACATTCATCACAATGATACAGCCCCTTCTCAATCTGCAAAAACGTAAGCATATTAGTCTCAAATTCCTACCAATGTAAACAAGATTCTTGGTTAAAATTCATCTGCAAGCTCACATCATCATCGAAGAACTTGCATAGTTTACAAAAGTACTCCCCCATATTGACTCCACAATTCAAACACACTTGAGAAACCTACCAAACAGAAAATGTTCATAAATAATTAAAAGCAATTTAGACAAAGATAATGAATGCGATTCATTGATGCATACCGGCTGCTCAGTATCACACACTAGGCAAATTACCTGCAAAACACGAAATCAAAAAGCAAAACTGACGGTTCTCAGCTTCAGAACTAAAAAGACAACAGCTAAATAAGAAAAACGATATCAAAATCCCACCGTTTCGACCTCCTGCCTACACAACTCGTGATGATCCTTCTGTACATCACAGGATCAACAAAAACCAAAATAAAAAGGAAAATCAATTCAATCACAAAAAAATTCCTAACAATGACGCCTTGGCCTAAATCGATGCGAGAGGGAAGCGACTGCATACGGTAGATTCGTTGTGGCAATGGCGACAGTGGAAGATTTCATTGCAACACGGTGCGCGAATCTTGCACCTCCGTCGGTAATGTACGCACCTGAATGCAATCGGTTCATCAAGTAAACACAAATTAGATTCCTAAACCTACAAAAGAGGACCACGAATCAGGATTGAGCAAAGCAGCGGCTTGTAGAAGGAGAGGAATCGGTGATTACCCGTAACCCATCTTGCCATAGTTCAGACGAGAATCGTCGACGATGGCCGCCATCTCTGAAACGGTTAAGCGAGAAGTTCTGAGCCGCAAGAAGGAGAAAAGACGAGAAAACGGACAAGAGAGAAAAAATTCGTGTTTTTTTATGTAATTGGAATTTGAAACATATCCAAACTCCACACGTAATATTTTTTTTTAAATAAAAAAAAATAAAAAAAGAGAATAGGGAATAGATTATTTCCCTAAAAAAATAAAAATAATAATAATAAGACGAGAAAACAGACGGAGAGAATGTATTTAATATTTATTTTGAACAAAGTATGGGGTACCATTAGGTGGTTGGAGATTGGCTCGTTGAACGCTATCCATCTTCGCTTGAAAAAGTGGGCAACTCCGGCAAGCCAACAAAGAGTGTAAAACAAAAAACATTACGTTTAAGGCACTCTCTTTTTTATTTTTATTTTTTTTATTGAAAAAAAATATTACGTATGAGTGAAGTTTGGATATCTTTCAAATTTCAATCACATTAAAAAAACATGAATTTTTTCTCTCTTGGACATTAGAAATTATTCTGTGCGGACGCCGAATGCAGCTCTACATCCAGAGACCAGCCGGAATGAGCCATGTCAGCAATACCGAGCGATACCGAACAGAATCAAGGCTCATTCTGATTGGTCTCTGGAAGGCGTCTGGCGTCCGCCACTGGCGGAACCACATGAAGCTTAGGGGGAAATTGCCCCCCCCTTATAGGAGAGTAAATATTTTTTTTCTCTCCTCCTAAAAAATTACTTTTGCCCCTCCTAAAAAACTCTTTTGTCCTAACTTGTCCTAAAATGTCTATATTTTTTTTCTTTACTAATTAAAATTTCTAAAATATCTATATATTTCTTCAAATTTAGTTCTTATATTTTCTTTTATATTTTTCATGACAATTTAATTACACATTTTTTTTCTTGCTTAATTTTTTTAAATAACTTTTCGTTATATATATATTATTTTTTAATATTCAATTATTTTTGTATTTTACTGAGATA